GCGGCACGGTCAGATGGGGGTGCGTCCAGTCACGTGCCACAGGATGGGTGTATCTGGGAAACAACACTGAAAAAAAAAAATCGAATTGTTTTCTTCTGGCGCTGGGGATTGAACCCAGAGCCTTCTCATTGCACCACATCTCCAGTCCTTAAAAAAATTTTTTTTGTGTGGGCTGGATATGTAGCTCAGTGGCACTGTGCCTGCCTGAGTTTGATTCCATGGAGACAGAGTCTCAATAAGTTGCCCAGGCTTGGGCTTGCCGTGTGCTAAGATTACAGGTGTGTGCCACCTCACCCAGCTAGAAAAGAAATTAAGTTCTAGAACATGACAGTGAATTTGTATTAAGTTCAAAGATAAGCAAACGTGGTGTCATTATGGTATGATGAGGGGGGTGTGTGTGTGTGTGTGTGTGTGTGTGTGTGTGTGTATGTATGTGTTTAAAAGCAAAGGAAAATTGGGGCATGGTGGCACATACCTTTGATCCCAGCACATATGAGGCTGAGGCAGGAGGATTGCTGTGAGCTCGAGGCCAGTGAGCTTAAGACCAGCCTGAACTACATAGCAAGACCTTGTCTCAAAATCCCTTCCTTGCCTCAAAAAAAAAAAGAACCAATGGGAAATGGCAGGATGGTAGTTATCTGTGGTGGGGATGGAAGGGGAGAAAGGGGGAGCATGAGGTGGGGTGTGTGGATATATGCAAATTATTGGTGAAGTTATAGTTCTATATTACTTTCTTGTGTGTGTGTGTGTGCATGTGTGTGCACATGCATGTATTCCTGGGGATGGGACTCGGGCCTGCCACATCCGAGCCAAGTGCTGTACTACTGAGCTATACCCTCAGCCCAGAGTTATAATTCTTATTTTTTTTGCAGTTATAGTTTGTTTGTTTGAGACAGGGTCTAGGTATGCAGTTTAGGCTACCCTTGAACTCATGGTGACCCTCCTGCCTCAGCCTCCCAAGTGCTAGGATTACAGGCCCAGTTTTAGTTCTTGGATGGCACAGCTCACAGTATTTACTATAGTATGCTGTATAATTAGTACATTACACATACATAACAGTAGAATTTAATAAAGAAAGATTTTACACACGAGGCCAGAGTCTCGGGGTAACTTCTGTCTTCCAACCCTTTTATATGCATGTGTGCATAATATAAGATGAGGAAATCAGCTGGGCATGGTGGCACATGTTTATAATCCCAGCATTTTGGGAGGCTGAGGCAGGAGGATTACAAGACTGAACCCAGCCTAAGATCTTTTCTCAAAAAATAAACAAAAGCGAGGGTATAGCTCAGTGAGAAGGCACTGAATTCATTCTCCAGTAATGGGGGAGAAAATAGAGAACTGTAGCTTATTAATTCTCTCAGGGCTCTGAGGTCTTTACTCTCACCAGCAGTGCAGTGGCGAATGTCTTGTTCGGTGTTCTCGTGCACACATCCACGTGTTTTCTAGGTTTCTGCAGAAGTGGGATTGCACATTGAAGTGATAGTGCTAGAGGGCTCTCTAGAGGGTGGCACCAGAGGCCCAGCCTGCACGCAGGACCCGAAGAGCGCATTAGGGCCCAGTCTGTCCGCTGTACACCCTTTCCTCTGAGGGGAAGCAGGACTTCTCATTGTCACGCCCTTCCTGGAACCCTTCACATGAGCTGGATTGCGTTCAGCACTTCATATTAATCCCATCTGTCCCTAGAGGTCTCTCCTCACCTGTACAATGGCAGTCCTGGCCCTGAGGATTACATAAAATAACAAGATGATCTCAGTGGTTGAGGCAGATTGTATTCAAGCAGGTTGAGCTCAGAAATTACTAAACCCTGAGCTCAGTGTCGTGTACCTCCTAAAAGGAGGGAACGAGCATATACCTTCATGGGGCTGCCACAGGAGGGTCCGTGATGAGTGGGGCCACTATTTCACCCTGGGGAAAGAAGCCGGCCAGCTTTAGGGCAGTGGAGAAACTTGCCCTTGGGTCCCAAGTGGTGCCGTCAGGGTCTGAATACAGTGCCAAGTCCAAAGCCCAGGCTCTTCCTGGCTGTCAAGCTGCCTGTCTCAGTGGAGAGCTAGAGACTTCCTGCCCTTCCTGCCTCCCCTTTCAGGGCCCAGGTCAGCTAACCTTCCTTAGTTTCCTTCTGACCCAGGCCCTCAGACCTGGGTGTCTGTGGTCTGGCTGTGAGGGCAGGGCCTGCCCTCTGGTGGCAACTTTCAGTATTGCAAGACCAAGCCGGTTACGGTGGCCCTCTGAGGAGGTGGTTTGGGGCTGTGGTAGGGTGAGGTGGCCAGTTTAGCATCCTTCCTTCCTCCCTACAGCTAACAACTCAGAGTTAAAAAGTGATCCCTGTCCCTCACTGGGGGCCTCTGTCTCACTGCTAGCTCAAGATGAATGAACCATACAGTTGAGTTCTGGGTCACAAACCCTCAGAACAAGAGGGAAAAGGACATTGCCACCATCTGCAGGTGTGCCGTGTGCCAAGTCCTTGGCTAGCCCTCGGGGTCATCTTGTGAGGTGGCCCTCATCGCTGTCTTAGGATGAGGAGGCCTGGATGCAGGAAGGGTGACAGAGCTCAGGCTCGTCCTGCCAGCTGCCCTGGACTTCCCTGGGGGTGGCTGAGGGTGGTCTCTGCCCAGTTGGTCTCTGACACTCTCCACTCTCTCTCTCTCTCAGACTTCGTGGGCTCCACAGCAAGCTCCATGTTGCGGCCAGGGGGTGATGTCTCTGGATGGGGAGTCCTCCCCTGCCCTGTGGCTCACACACAGGGACCCTGAAGGCCGGGACCCCAGCCCAGGAATTGGCCTGACCTCAGCTTGTCCCGTCACCTGCCTTTCGTCCCTCTGTCCAGGCTCTGAGGGAAGATCTTGGACTGACTTATCAGCTACAGCCAGCCTGGGAGCTCCAGGCTCTGAAGAAATGCCAGGGCCAGTCTGCGGCCTGGTGGAGGGGAGACCTGCAGACTGTGGGAGGGGCTGATTCTGGGTCCTGTCTCACTGCGGCCTGAGGAACCTGGATCCTCTTCCCTTGGCTTCTCTGCTCCTCTTCAGACTGGCCTGCAGAAGCCCAGAAAAGGGAGGTGCCCTGGTTCCCACTCCCAGACCTCACCAGTCTGGAAGGCTGCTACCTGGCTATCCCTTCGCCGCCTACAGAGGCTGACTGACACTGCCCCCGGTGGGCCGGACTTTTTCCTACTTTTTTTTTCCCCCTGATGATGGTTCCACCACATCTGCCACAGAGCTCCAGGTGCCACCAGCCTCGCCGGGCTTCCCCTGCCCCAGCTCACGCCCAGCACCCGGAAGAACATGAGCTGTGCCAAGGGGAGAGCGTGGGACCTCGCTGTCACTTGCTGCCTGGAGCCCTGAGCAGCCCAGAGCCTGCAAACAGACACAGGTTCTGGGGGCAGGGAGGAGGTGTGGACCCAGGTGGCTGGCACTCACACTGCGCAGCCTGGGTGGCCTGGCCTCCTCTCTGCTGGGCTGTCTGTCACTCCTGTGTCTGGACCCTTGACCCTGGCCTGTTTTGTATAGCACAGACCTCTTGGCCCTGTTGTCAGGGTTGGGGTCGAGGGGTAAAGGTGGGGAATTAGGGGACGCGTCACCCCTTCTACCCTTCTCACGGCCCCGACACGCCCTGGCATCTGCCAAGGGCAGAGACTGTCTTGCCTCTTTGATACTTTTCTGCATAACTTGAACTTGCAGGTCACCTCTGAACAGGGTACCCCTGTCCCCACTCCCAGGCCTTGTGAACTCATCCCTGCCTCTTCCTCTCCTTGCCCACCTGTCGCCTTGCGATCTGCCCAGGGTACGCAGCCCACCGGGCAGTGCTTGGAGCTGAGGCACGAGTGAGTGTGTGTGCGTGTGTGCGTGTGTGAGTGTGTGTGTGTTGGAGAGGGGCAGAGAAGCCCCTACCCCCGACATTGGGCTTCTCCCTTTCCCTCAGCAGGGCAAGTGTGGGAGGTCCCGATGTCTTCTGAACACATGGCATCACCTTGTGGATTTGGTGGCAGAGCCATCTACCCTTGGGAGCCCTCTGGCTTGTGGCTGAACAGCCCTTGCCAGAACCTGGTCGGGAGCAGCAGACCAACTTCATCTTGGGTGCTGGCTTCTTAGTTGGGTGCGCACTGCCTGGCCCACTGTGGAGCCTCCCAGCTGCTTGGGGAAGTGTGCTGTTTTCATGGGTCATGTTAGCCTCGGCCAGCAGGGAGGAAATCAGCTTGAGGGCCACCTGTGTGCCACCCTATGTTCTTTTCCATGGGGCTTGGGCCTCAGAAAGACCCGCGTCTGCACAGCCCCGTCTGGAGCTTTGTTGGAGTCAAATGCTGGGTCATGGTACAGTTCCAGCCTTGGGCGTTAGCAAGTCCTGACCCCATCTCTCGCTACTCTTCACCAAGGCCCTGGCCCTTGCCTGTGCCCCCCACCCTGCAGGAGCGCTGGAGGTGGGGGTGGGCTCCGGGACTCCGCTAAATGGGACAGGAGTGAGCTCCGGAGTTCAACCAAAGTGCAGCACGGGAGGGAGAGTGACGGAGGGGCAGGAAACAAGTGCCTGGGGAAGAGGAGGAGAGGTGGGAAGGGGACAGAGGGTGCAGAGATAATAGACACAACAGGAAAAAGAGAAGAAGGAGGCACAGATGAGGAGAATGGAGAGGCCGAGGTGACTGCAGGGCCTGGAGACGGGTACGGAGCTGAGGAGAGAAGGGAAAGGAGTGGAACCCGAGGTCTGTGAGGGAGAGGGAACCTGGAGGAGCAACAGTGAGTAGAAGGGTGAGGGGACAGGTGCAGGGGCTGTGGGGAGGTGATTTGCAGGGCGCAAGAGTGAGATGGACAGGAAAGAGGACAGGAGGAGGAGGAGGATGGAGGTGGCGAGACGCTGCTGTTTGGACAGGAGGAGGAGGAGGATGGAGGTGGCGAGACGCTGCTGTGTGGGCACCAGGGGTGGGGATGGCTTGCTTTCCCAAGACCCCTGTGCTCTAGTGGAGGTTGGAGGCCACATGGGTGAGGGCCTGGGACCCAAGCGGGCCATCTCCACCCCTTTGTGGGGATTGGAGTTGGGGAGCCACGCCAGTGGGGAGCTGAGTCCAGGCGGTGTCAGCTGTGGGCCAGCAGCAGGGGAAGGAAGGAGGCCGCTTCCCTTTGGGATAGTCTCACAGTGCTTCCAGTGGGGTGGGGTAAGGGGCCTGGGTGGGCTGAAGTCTGGTGAGGATGCTCCCCCTGAGGGCCCCAGCGGCAAGCCCTTGGCTCCAGCAGCTCTCCCAGGGCAGTGGCAGCTTCACCAGAGGGCAGGCCTGGGGTCTGTCTTATCCAGAGCCTGCAAAGTGGCTTTAGTCTTTGGGGGCCCATGGCTCTATCAGTCCTTATTCAGCTATGGGTTGTGGGAGGTGAACATTCCTCTTTGGGACCAGAACCTACAGAGAAAATTTCCTGAGGGGTGAGAATGTGGTAAGAGCCTGGAATAGCCAGGAAGATGAGAGCTTTTAGGCAAGGCCATGGGGAAAGACTCTGGCCTCTGGAGATCCTTGCTTGTGCACAGGGGAGAGTCACCCTTCTCCAGCTTCCAGTGTGAGCTGAGAAAGGGAACCCTCTCTCTGGAGAGGTTGGGGTCTTCCCTTGTGTGGGCCCCTGCCTGGCTCAGGGTAGCTTGTGGGTGGGAGCAGGGGAGTCACAGTCCTTTCCCAGGGCTCTGACCGACAGACCTCTGAGGGCCTGTGTTGTGTCATTAGGATAGCTTGGAGTCGTCTACACCTCATTAGTAAGTTCTGTCTGAATGTGTCCTCACTGTTCATCGTCCAACTTGGTAACATTTATTTTGGTCCTGACCCCTTCTGCTGCTGCTGCTGGATTTGAGCTTCAGTGCGGGTGGAATGATGTTCAAATAAAGAAACACTTTATATCACCCATGCTGGCTGCTGCTTCTGAGCCATGTCCCAGGGTACAAGAGGGGCTAAGACTTCACGGGCCCCCATGTATCCAGTCTGGCTGCACGTTAACAGGGTTAACTCTGTGGCCTAATGAGGCAGCTCGTATTACCATGGCATTAAGGGTTGCCACTGGCATGACCGAGCTGGCCATGATGTTACCAGGAACCTAGGCTCCAATTTTTCTGCCATTTTCTATCCTGGCTTCCTTCCTAAAGGAAGCCTCATGGGCCCAGATGGCTGGTGGTCCCGTCACCTGGTCTGCATTTCATTTAAAGGAGACAGAAGCTAACTGTAAATGGGGCACACTGCCGAGCTAAGTAAAAAGGGCTGTTACAAAGGAGAAGGGAGAGAAGAGATGGAGTGGGCGGGTGGCACCTCCTGAGAGCAGAGGCTTGACTTTGCCCTTGAGGCCCTGCCTGTGTGGGCTTGGACAGTCACCTACCTCTCGGAAAGTCCCCCCTGAGTAAGTGGGGACAACCATAGCGACCGAGGCACAGGGAAGTGGTGCAGTAACGAGGGAGTGTATGTCGGTGGTTCAACACAGCCCACGGGACTTTGTCATGTGCCAAACAGACCCTGTCTGCAGAGTCTGGCTGTAGAAACAAGATATAATTTTGCTAAGTTCAGGATACCATGAGTATTGTGTGGTGGAAGATTAGGAGAAAGCTTTACTGTGGGGTGAGCAGAAGTTCGGTGGGAAGGATCAGGAAGGTCATCCTGAAAGAGAAAGAGCTTGAGCAGAGACCAAGGAAGGAGGCAGAGATACACGCATGGAGAAGGGAAGCCATGCAGGAGCGCTGGGACATGAAAGTGTGAGGTGTGGAAGATGAGAGATCAACAAGGTCCAGCTCCCAAGAAACCCAGAAGCCATGCATAGGAGTCCAGACTCAAGAGCAATGGGGAGCCAAGGAAGGGTTTTGAATGGGAGAGAGGGGCACAAGAAGGTTCACATTTCAGAAAGATCATACGGAATCAGTATGATACTGAATTAGTGCCAGGGGACCGGGTTAGAGCTGATTTCAGTAAAAGGGGAATCAGAAGCAGGACCTGAAGCAACGGATGGCGGTTGAGTTTGAGAAAGGGAAGACTTTCTCTCCCAGGAAGTAGAATTGGCAACAGTCAGTAATATACCCCGGGAGATGGGGTAGAAAAGCATCGAAGAGGTGTGTGAGTCCTCCCCTGTGGGGACTGGAGTATTTGTCAAGATGGTCGTTTTGGCTTGAGACATGCTACTTTTCAGAAGTGTGGGGGCACCTTGGTGGGGCTCTCTTGTATGGGGCGGATGTAATGGAGTTGGAAAACCCAGAAAGGTCTGCATCAGAAATGCTGGCATACAGAGGACGGTTGTGACCGGGAGCAAGCCACACACTTGCCCAGGACAGCTATGTGGTGGGAAAAGCAGAGGTGATGGGACCTCAAACGCTGATACACCAGGACTCAGAAGGAGACAACAGGGGAGTCAGAGGGTATCAGGAGTACTGCAAGTGTGGTGCTATGAGTTCAAGAGACGGAGCGGAAGTCTAGTATGAGGGGCTGAAAAACATGTACACTGAGCGAGAACAAGATCACCGCTGAACTTGGTAGGAGCGCATTCCAGGAGACAGCAGGGAGAGAGTGAGGACTACGCATTGAAGTGCAGATAAAGTGAAGAAACAGGCGACTGCAATTTGCTCAGGAAATGGTACACTTGTTGAACTAGCAGCAGACAAGGGCCAGCGCCTTACCTAGAGGGACATGGAGAGCGAAAGGTGAAATCTCTGCAGTACTGGACGGTGAACCAAGGGAATGCTGAGCTACACCCTCAGCCCTTTCTCTATCGCTATCTTGAGACAGGGCTGTTGCTAAACTGCCCGGGATGGGCTCAAACTAGTGCTCCTACCTGGGATTACAGGTGTGTGTCTCCAGGCCCCATACCAGCTTGGAATCTTTCTTTAAATATGGGAGTGTTCTAGATGTTCACTGGCTGTGGCAATTAAGAGGATAAAGAGATGACTGCAGGAGCACGTCCCGGGAGAGGTGGGAGCCAGCTGACTGAGGGGGCAGAGGTTGGTCTTCAAATTTAAAAGATGACCTACATAACAGAGATGGAAAAATTTAATTTACTTTTGGGGTGAAGGGAGGGTAAAACTTAGGGAGCTCTTTTTTCTTTTTCGGTACCAGGGATTGAACTTGGGTCCTTGCACTTGCAAGGTAGGCGGCGGAACCACTGAGCTAAATCCCCCACCCATGGGGCTCTTTTCTGATGCCATCCATTTTCCTAGTGAGCCAGGGGGTTTGAGAAGAATGGTGGAAGTTGGAATAGTTGCTAGAGCTAAGGATGAAGAAAAGAGCTGATAACCAACCACAAATCTGCAGTGGTATCAACAGACAGGAGGGCAGGCACGGACGACCAGATTGACAGGTAGGTGGCAAAGGAAGCCAAGCATCTTAAATGTTTCAGAGATCACCTTGAGATGTAGGCTGGGTGTTGGAAAAAGAGAGCCTAGGATGGGGCCAATAGACTGGAGAAAATAGAGGGAATGAGGGACTGAAGTTTATGTGAAAGAGCTGAAAAGACAGGAGATTGTGGGCAGGGGGCTGAGTGTTTGCCTAAGTATTTCCGGGAGTTTGAGAAGATGACTTTGAGATGAGAGGCACCCTGGTTAGGCTGTCCATTCAAAGTGTGGGAAATACAGCAGAACTGGGGGTGGAGGAGGAGACCTGTCAAACTTGTCCAAGAATCACTGTTGCTGAGCCAGGCGTGATGGCGCACACCTGTAATCCCAGTACTCGGGAGGCTGAAGCAGGAAGACTGCCGTGAGTTTGAGGCCAGCCTCAACTACATAGCGAGATCCTGCCTTAAAAAAAAAAAAAAAGAATCAGAGTTATTGGGAAGGTAAAAGATAATACCAATGAAAGGGAAGGGGTCTAAAGGAGGCACACGGAGAATGAGCATCAGTGGGGTAGGGATCTTTATCTGGACTGTATACAACTATGCAGCAGGATGTGAGGGAACAAGCAGACACTTAAATGGCCTGCAAGAGAGATGCTGTCCCAAGGAGAGAACTTTGTTTCAGAGGAGCAAGATGGAGGTGGGCTTTGTCTGTGGAGGGAAAGGCGTGTTCAGAGGACATGAGAAGGCTGAGAGAGAAGGGCCAGGGAGAGGACTGCATGGCAAGACTAGAGCACTGGGGAGGCCGGATGGCACAGAACATTCTCACTGTGGCTGTGGTGAGGGCTCAGAAGCATGAAATTGGGAGAATTCACTCGACCCAGAAGTTTAAATGGTGCTCCAGTTTGGAAGGCCCCACCGGGCCACTTAGGCAGAGCAAAGGACTGGGGATGATCCTAGCTGCGATGCCCGAGCAGCCCCACCTGAAGGTGACGGGAAGTTCACTCCGGTGCTAAAATGGGTGCAAGAATCAACCCCAGTGAGTTAGAAGCTTCTTCAAATCCATATACTCAACAAGGCACTGCTGTCCAGGTACGTGGCACACACCTGTAACCCTAGCTGTCTGGGAGGCTGGAGCAGGAGGATCACCAGTTCAAGGACAGCCTGAGCATTTTAGGAAGAATCTGTCCTAAAATAGGAATAAATACATAAATAAAAAGCTGGTGTGGGGCCGGGGATGTAGCTCAGCGGTGCCATGCCTGCCTGGCAAGCACAAGGTCCTGAGTTTCAGCCTTGATACCAGGGGTTGGGGATAAGCTGGGCTGTAGCTCATTGGTGTATCGGGATTGAGTGCTTGCCCGGAGTGCAAATACACACACACATGTATTTGAACTCAAATCCCAGTGCTGCAAATGAACAAACAACACAATTAAAAAAAAAAAAACAACAAAACACTTCAGAAAACAAAACCCCAAATAAACTAAAACAAAACCCAAATAAACAACAACAAAAACCCAAAGCATTTATTGAATGCTTACTCTGGTCAGGTACTGCTAGGCTGAGAAATGTATCAGACATGAGCTTGATAA